AGCAGCAGACAATTGTTCCTCATTGAATCTCAAATGTTCTTGAAACAGCAGGTCTCTCATGCCAATATTTTTCACCCCAAGACTTGAATTTATTGAACTGTGTCATAAACGTGTATTAATGTGTGAAGCACATTGAGTTGCCTTATACTGTATATGAAATGCGCAATAAAAATAAAGCTGCCTTGTCTTGCCTAATAATAAAGAACATCCAGTCATCCATTTTCTATAAAGTATGTCCCGTTCAGGGTCGCAGGGAGCTTCAACAAATTGTAACTCACTTCTGGCAAAAAGCGAACTTCACTCTGGACTGGTCACCGAGCGGGAAATAACCCCACGCGACTTGCGCCAATAAAACACATATGAGCGTTTTACATAGGCAAGCCGATAAAACCCGTTTTGGGTCCAGGGCCACAATTTGGAAACCTCTTGTGAAAAGTAATTCAAGGCAAAGCAAGTAAATAGTACAAGTACCTTGGGAAGTGGCCGTCCCAGCTGTGAATACAATTTAGTCCAGAACTGCATGAGCGACATGGGTCCAAAATCTGCTTGAAGGGGAGGGTGATAGACACACACACTCACACACTCAGACACACTCCTGCTTCACCTCGGGGCAACGGCCTGATCCATGGGCTTCTAATCACCTTGCAGCCAGTGGAACCCGCTCAGCCCTTTCACGGCTCCTCTCTGATTGAACACAACACATCTGCCTACGCTGGAGGTGACGCTCCTTGTCAATGAGCACCACCCAGGTCTAGAAAAAGGCCGCTAGGGTATTGGCGCTGAGTGATAAGTCATAGTGGTTGTGCACTAATAGTTCCTCAAAGAGGTGGCCTGAGAGTGAGTGAGTGAGCAGAGGAGGGGGAGGGCAGAGGGAGGGAGCGGAGGAGGAGTTTTCAGGAAATGATGCTTTTGTTGGTAAGTGACTACAGTTACCGGCAGTCAGACCCATTTTACTGTACATGGTGTAACTCAACCGCATTTGTAGTGTAAACAGAATTGCGCTCTGCACCCCTGCCACTCCTTGCATGCCGCTGTGTACTGCTATATTTAATTGGCCTGCTTCACTGTTTGTTTTTTTTTTTTAAATAGTTATTATATTTAGAAAAACGAACGCGCTGCCCGGTTGCTGCTCTAAATTCTTATGATTGTCCTTCTTTCCCCGTTAAGGCTCACTATTGAGTCGTCTACCCTTACCAAGTGATACAGTGGAATGTCTAAAGCCAAACCCTTTAAGTTTCAAACCATGATCAAGCCAGTGTAATAACCACAGAACCAAAAACCGAACATGTTCATAGAAAAGTAACTGGTTGCTCAGTAAACTAACAGCAATGCAATTATTTAGAAACATTTATTTTACCATGCAGGTAACACAAATGCACACATAATACACAAACACTACTCAACACAACAACATTAATTCCAGCAGTATTTTTTTAAATGCCTGCTGCCATCTAAAGCTGAGGAGTTTTAATGTCATTTAACCAAATTCGAGTTTTGATTGACATTGTACAGGATGGCGATGGACCTCTTTTCAATCTTGTCTGACAGTTGAGCGTGTTAAAATGTTCCCGTTGACAATGCGGTTATGCAGGTTTATTTGTAGATTTCTGCTGACGGGAAAAGCTGGTTTGAAATTTAACTGATTCACTGCCAGCCATTTTTAAAGCAGGGTTCCCTATGTTGCCAGCTGTAGTCGAGCATTTTGACTGATCTTCCAAGACCCACAGATTATTGTGTGCGCCAACAGTATATGCTCCAAACTTATCAAAACAAAAAGTAGACTTTCTTCTTTCACTTTTGGTTCTTTAGTAGTCAGCAGTAAAATATGATTTGGTTTCACTAAAAATACTTTTTTTTTTTTTTAACACCAAACTCCTCGTGGAAAGAAATGCATTAAGGAAAACAGTGACTTTGACACTTATATTGTTCCTTTGGTGACACCTCAAACAAAAAACAAAACAAAACAAACAAAACAACAATAAAAACCAGACTAAGAATCTGTGCTGGAATAACATGTACACTTTTATCCAGGGGGAGGTTCATTTACCAGAATTCCAGGCTGTCACGGCAAGGAAAAAAAAACAAAAAAAAACAAAACATGATCATCTGTTGACAAAATAATTACACTACAAGCACTACACTAACGTTTCAGGTTTGTCAAGGAAAACTGTTGGAAGAAAAAAACAAATTGCTTCCATTGCTGGTGAGACAAATGGGGTCCATTTGCACCCCCCAGCTTCCAGGAATCCATGATATCACGTCAGGATGATCTACTATAATGTCCATCTTTGTGAGATTGAAATGGAGAAAAGACTCATAGACAAAGTGGCGCCTGTCCACCGTGTCATCATTGAAGTGGAAATCCTCTGCCGAATGTGTGCGTAAGCAAAGTGGCACCAGAGAGACTTGTCTCTATGAATCGTGAGCACTCAAATGCAAACTTTCAGCTTCGCAGGCTAAAGGAAGGAAAGATCTAAGACCGGATCTTTGTTGCAGTGGAACTTCCAAGCATCCTAATGAGCATATTGTACATGCATGGCGAGATGTCAACCGCTGCTGTCATGTCTGTCTGTGTTTACGTTTTTGTTTCAGCACCAGAAGGGCGTTTCCTCCCTGCTGGCGCACCTGTTCCCTATCATCAGCATCATCACAAAGTCTTGTATTTCGAACTCCGACTGCTGTCGCACTCCGTCGGATTATTGACCTTGATTTTGTTCGTGTTGTTTTCGAGACCTCTAATCCCTTTCATTGTCGTTTTTGCTCTGAGTTCCTAGCTTTGGAAGTATTGGTATTATTTAGTCATTTTGTTCTTGCTCTTGTTTTTTTCGTGTATATTGGACTCGTGTCATTTCGTTTGTATTCTCAGTGTCAGTATTACCTTGTTTCGTCATTTTGCACAGGACCTTTGTGACCAGCATTTTCTGTTTTTCTTTTTTTTTAATAATCAACATTTTTCTTATTTGCATTTTGTCTGTGTTTGCATTTTCAGGATCCAAACCGTTGTTCGGTTCGTTCCTCAACCGGAGCTGCGTTACAAAACTGAAATTAAGCAATACTACTTATCGCACACACATCTTGGGGGATCAAACCTGTGCCGCCAAATAGATACTGTTGATCAAGTTGTGTTTGACTTTTAAGGAACTTTTTATCGAGAATATAGTGTCCAAATTGTCCCACGTAGGTGATGTTTACCTCCACTGTATTTAAATCGCACGAGTTATTTCTTCTCATCACTTCAAAACAAAGGACTGAAGAATTCTGCAAACATGCTCCGAGACAGCAGTCATCAAATTCCTTTTGTGCTCATTCATCATATTATGGTCTGTTTCCTTAATTCCCCCAAAAGAAAAAAAAACAAAAAACAATGCAGCGAACAATGAGGAGAGCAGAAAAGATCAAAGGACACTCGCACAACACCTCTCACTCTTGGAGTCTTGACCAACAACGAAGCAAGGGGCACAAGGCAAATCTTTAGTGACTCGACACTCCCTTGAAGGTGTTCAGGAGAGGGCACACTTGAAAATACAGTGCCCGGAAAAGGAAACTCAATAAGCCCTGCGCACATCGTCATGAACCTGAACTGGATAGGCAATGAAGCAATCGCCTGAATGGACAATGCCTGCGGATAAAAATCCCGCCCAGAAACAAAATGAAACTGAGTTCATTTCGCCAACACACCTCCAGTTAAAGGGAGTGTCCAAAACCGTAACAGTCAGGTGATAAAGCAAAAATCGAAGGACCTGTGATACACATTATGTCTGTGCGTCTCCCGTGGGAGGAGAGATAGTCTCAAACCAGGAAGTCCAGGTGAGAAAAAAAAATGTTCTTCACACAAGCACGCACGCACGAGGCAGAGAAAGGCTCCTGTATGCTCTCTGCCTGCAAATGGTTTGGGCTTTTTTTTGGGGGGGGGGGGAGATAAACACAACTAAGATCGATGATTACAAGGCCACACACATTTTAAAACACTTCCCACTTCGGCATAACAAGCTTATCTTGGCGCACATCAAACATAAAATGGAAGTAAAACTAGTGTTTGTGTGTGCGTCTTCCCTCAACTCTGAATTTGATGAGCAGGGAAAATACGTCAAACGGCCCCCAAGCAATAACATTTGGAGTTCAAAACAAAATGTTCCCCTAAAGCAAATCTTCGGTCAAGTCATGATCTCCCTGTAATGGTAGCAATGCAATTCATTCATTCATTGAGTGTTCTAACAAGCAAATGCTATCAGAAATAAAGATCTTATGCAAAAAAAATAACACAAAGTGATTTCAGCAGCACTGTAATACTGCTACTACTACTTTGAAAACAAATGTTAACGTCTTCTATATTCAATTGTACACTGCAAATAATTACAACATCAAACAGGTAACATTTCGTGTTGAGCAACTTTACAACGTGACTAAATCATGTTATAAGCATGCGGGTGGGTTGGGCACATTCATGAGGGCGTCGCTTTGGTCAGGGACGTGGGTTTAAGATTTTAAGTGAGGCTATAGTAAATCTTGCTTCAACATAATGTACTGCGCCTCAAGATACCGGCTGGCTGGCATCTTCATTTTTGCCTTGCAACAATAGTTAGTTCGTACATGTCACATCTCATTTAGATTACAAACTGGTCCATGTGGTGCGAATTATCAATCTGTAAAACACTGGCAGGGACACAAAAATGCAATAGAATTATGGATTACTGTTGTCCTCTGCCAGAACTCTGGGTTAAGGACACCCCAAAACCACTTGAGACTTCCTAGTTTAAAAATGTTGAAAACCATTCATGGACACAACTCTGATGTTGATTTCTGGTTGAGTTGAAGTGCACAAGAATGTCAAATTACAGTGCCTCAGTGATGACATGTGTGGACATGCGCTGTGGTTGTCAAGACAACACAAGGCAGTCGGGGGGCACTATGGTACATTAGGAAGACGGGATGAAAGGCCGAGATCCCTCCCGCTGATAAGTGAGGGAGAAACCTTTTCGCAATCCTCGCCGTTCACCAACCTGTGAGAAATCGCCATTCCTGGGTAGGTTGAGGCAGGGGAAATCCATGTCGGAGAACGCAGAGTACATCTCAAGGTGCACATCCGGCGTAGTGGCGGTGGTAGCGCTGCTGCTGTTCAAGTGGTATTGCCTGGAGGGAGAGAGTGTAAAGGAGAGAGAGAAAGGTCATGCTTCAGTTTTTTCCCCCCAAGTGATGACCTGTCTAAACAAAGAGAGGAAATAAGAGAAAATGTATGCTGTTTTGTTTTTGTAATAAAACATTTTCGACTGGGAAGAATTCTTTTCGGTCTTGAACAAGATTTCAGATCTCAACAGAGAGAGCCATTTTATTTTGGTTTTAAAATGTTCAGGTTTTAATGTTTAATAGTTGAGCTGCTGTAATTAAATTTTTTTTTTTTTTTTTTACATTTGAACAGATAATTTTAATGAATGCCTCCACATGTTTTGTCATCTGAGTCTAATGCCTGAGGTATGTTTTCTTCCATGGTATGATTTTAGTTTTGGTCTCACGATACAATTTCCTGTTCGCTTTCTGTTACGAATGTCAGACATCTTTGAAGCACTTTTTCAGTTTTATTTCACACTGATTTACTTAAGGTTACACGAACATGACTAAAATGTTTCTAAAAATGAGGGAATGAAATAAATCCCCATGACATTATGTCCTCTGTGAAAATGTGTTTTTCCAAAATAAGAATAACTTGGGAGTTGACTGGCATCGACTCTCGAGGTTTTACGTCATCATTCTCCTGTGGACCAGCCACCAAACGAAGGTAATTCCATTGGAATGCTTGAGTGCGCTTCATTTCATCGTTACGAGCCTCTGTGCTTTGAAAAAGGCCAATACCACACACGACTACGAAAAGCAAATCTTTGTTCAGGTGGAACCGTTGTAGCGCACAGCCACTTTTGCTTGTACCCCAATCACATGCCAGCGCTCAGAGCTCAGTAGGGCTGAGCTCTGCCAAAGCTATTTGCAGGATTTGTCTCGGTGTCCTCAAGCACGGGTCAAAGATCACAGGATGGTTTAACATACCCGACCAGTGGATGATAAAAAAAAAAAAAAAACAAAAAACAGTTAAATATTGTGTATGTCACTCGTGGAAAAAGGTCGGCGCTGGCCAAACGTACCATTGAGTTGAAAAGCAACATTTGTCGATGAGGGATAAGCAACATACAAATGTCCTCGCATGCTTTCGCTTTCAAACAACTGATGGAAGAAAATAAATGGAAAAATGTTCGCAAATTGGAAATTTGCTTCCTGGCCCTCAAAGCCATCACATGACATAAGATATGGCAAATCGTACAGGTGCTTGGCAAGATAGTGCATAAGGCAACACAGATGTTTGACATGCAGTACTTCCAAGTTGTCCTCTGTCAGAGGCACAAAAAACATCTTTTCAACAATTCGCACAGTCCAAGTAGGGACTCGGTGTGCCCAAATTGCTAACAAATTCCACTTGGTTAATTGTGGTGCCCTTTGTGAAAGAGGCTGCAGTGTTAATGGCAGGATGGTGCAAACGTGTCAGTGTTTGTCGCTGGTTCTCAGCTTTCAAACAGGAAGTAACCTGTTGCTTTTCCCCGCTGGTTTCAATAGAAAGAAGTTAAAAAGCAACGCCCTGGCTTTGCTTCTCAACAGGAGGATAACCGCTGCATGGCACTGCGTTGTTGCACCACAGAAGAGTACATGCACATTGACTGGGTTGGTCGACGGCTCACCATGCTGTGGGGTTCAGTGTGAAAAGGGAACGACATTTCACTTAATCCTCACATTTTAGTGCAACGTGCACTAAAATGGTCAGACATGCTGAACCTGTTTGGTTGCTGGTAAATGAGTACACAAAGTGACTGGTCCGCTGTAGCTTTTCAGCATGTCCAGACACAAGGAAAATGCATGCTCAGAGCACTGTCCATTTTGATACTATTTCCCTTTATGGCGCTTTGGGAGTGCACCGCGACCAAACTGGCAGTGGCCCGGTGCCTTTTCCCCCTTGTTTGGACACCAAGTAGGCTGCAACTCTACTTTTATTGAGGGGGAGGAAGTGGAGGAGGAGGAGGAGACGATGAGCAAGAAAAATGGAATGGTTCATCCCATTAAAAAGGAACAGCAGGGCCTCTGGAGTTCTCCTCCATCGACTCCATACTATTTGGCGATCGCTTTAAGGTCTACTTCAAGGTTCTTTAAGTTTCGCCATGCTTTTTCATCCGCCGTGAACTCCATCTTGATAACTCGTGATGCTTATATCGATCTGTGCATTTTTGTCTCTCAAAATTAACTGAGAAAAAAAAAGGCGATGGCTCTAAACTCGTAACTTTCAAGCCCTTGTAAGTCAAGACACCGCTGCATTTACTGGGGATGTAAAGGCAATATCGCAATATCTTAAAATTACCACAATATCGCCGTTGTCATGTTACGATATTAAAAGCACCACTTCCGTAAATAGGCCAGGTCATTTTCCATTTGTGCAGTTCCAGTACCCTCTGGTGGTTAATTTATTAGTGCAGTTTAATTTGAATTAGGCATGTTTTGGCCACCGACGTATGTTTGTGCGGCGGTGTAATTTTGTCACATGGCACAAATAGGCCAATGTTTCTGATAGAATAAATTATTTTACTCCAAATATCGACTTAAATTACAAAATTTTGCTTTGAAAATGTTCACAGATGAGACTGTTGTGGACCTTTGAGGTACTATTGTTCGAAGAACACACGAAACTTTCAGTAACATTTAGTCTTGCTACATACTAAATTGCACAATAGCTTATGCAACATTCCTGACGTTTGCACTTGATTGGATATCTAGATTAACAATGTCGCCCGATATTAATTATGTAACTGTGAGGAGTCTCTTCCAGCTCGCGCAATTATGAAATGTGAAACCTGCATGCTATCAACAGGTTGCAATTATCCATAGAGTCTGGCTGCAGGCAGTGTCAACAAGTGAGAAGGGTATCCGGCATACCTTCCACCAAACAGAGGCTGTTACAAAACTTTGTTTTGTTAACAAAACTCTTTATAACGCAGTGTAAAAAGTTAGCATTTAGAATCACTATGGGTAAAAAAAAAAAACTAAACAAAACATTTCTAAATAGATTTTTCTATCGTTCTGTGAGATGATCTACTGCACTACACGATCCTTGAGTCAGCTATCTTTTATTTCTGTATTTTGTTTTTAAATCTTGTATTTGTAATCATGGAAAGCACAATTGAGTTACCTTGAATAGGAAATGCACTGTATAAATAAAGATGCCTTGCCTTACAGCGTACGGATGACTTTCAAGTCACCTGTGATAACAAGACGCTGCCACATGATCAGCAGAGTTGTGATGCGCTTGGAAAGAAGGCAGTGTGCACAGGCTCTCTTGCGCTCATGCACCTACATCCTTTGACAGTCACCTCTAATTCCGCTATGAGGTCATAAAGTCCAAAGACATTGTCAGATTAAAGACGGTCTCGGGCAAAACTTGGACACCTCCTGTGGCTTCCTGGAGTTGCTTGGATTTATGAACAGAGAGAAATGAAGCGACTAAATCAATTATCTCAAATTTAATTCGATTGTCTTGAGTTTAGACTTGGATCTGCGTCAAAATACGAAATCAAAATGAAATCCACGATGGCCAGTCAAAGAGTGAGTACAGTTTTGGGATGTTTTGTGTATGTGGTAAAGTCAAATAGCAAACTAAAAACAGTTATATATACCGTGTACAGAATCCATGTCCGTAAATCATGTTTTATTTGCTAGAAGGGGTTGTAGTTGCCACGGCAACAACAACATTCACAGAATGCTCACATTATATTGGTCAGTAGTGCCCACAGTCCGGCCAACAGTTGGCTTTTACTTTGTTGCATATTTGAAACCCCCCCCCCCCCAAAACAAAACTGGATTGCACTTCTTTCTTTCGACACATTTGCAGATTGTTTGTACAGACTGTTTGGAAAACACATTTCGTTTGAGAGGTGGAACAAAAATGGGCCGGTGCAGCAATGTGGAGACTATGGCAGCAATGTGGAGACTATGGCATAGAAACACTGTAGCATCCAGAGCCAAGATGTGTTTGTGGATTCAGCTAAAATTCGTGTGTGCTCATACTTGCGTCGTTAAGTTTTAATGATGACGACAAGTTTTAATGAAGGCCAACCTCCTGGGCCACTAAAATTATCTCATGGCACCTTATGGAGGTCTTGAACCAACTCCTCATAGATTATTAAAGGGGATATATTGTACATTTTCTCACAATTAAAGTGTTTCAAAAACAGGAAACATTAAAAAAAAAAATCACGTGACAAAATCAATCAATCAAGTGACAAAATGGGATGAATACGAGAAAAAAATTCTGCCATTGCTGCTGGTAAAAATTTTTTAAAAAAGGAACAACTTACTGGTTTCCAGATTGCATAGGGCAGTATCCAGCCTGCTGAGAGAAGGACCTCCAGGAGCCAGAAGAGGCAAAGAGGGAACTCTTATTAAAGAAAAAAAAAATAATAAAAAGAAGTTGAGGTACAGATACAACAGAAGATGAATAGGTGTATATAAGTTACTTTGCTATACCTCCATATTTGAGGAGGCTACAGAGAACAAGCTGGTGTCCAGCTGAGGGCCTTCTGGATGCAGGTAGTTCTCCCCGTCCATGGCCAGCGCGAAGGGGAGGTTGGGCATCAGACTGGAGTAGTAAACATGACCACGAGAGGATTTCTGCTATGGCCCAAACTGCCAATCCTTCTCCTGGCTGTGTCCCGGATCGTACCTCTAGCACGAAAAAAGACTCTCCATGACCTGCAAAAAGACAAAATTGAGGTTCTTATATGTCCGGCATTTTAGAACATTTAGGCTGATTCGCAGGATATCTTGTTTTGCGATAATATAATCACCAGAGGAAAAGTAGATTCACCAGAAAAAAGTTGTCTGAGTCAAGCTTTTTTATTTCTTTAGTAATAAGCACTTGAACATGAGTTAGTTTCACCAAAACAAGGTGTCTGACAAAAAAGGTGAAAAAAATTAATTTTTTTTTTTTTTTAAAAGACAGTACGGGTGTGAAAAAAGATGATTTCATACGTTTTTTTTTTTTTTTATGCTATGCGCAAATGAAATTCAAGGACGGTTCGATTTGAAAGTGCAACAATTTGGTGTGACTTCCACATTAATATATTTAGCATTTGTGAAACTTCAAACTATAAAACATCAAGATTGAGAAAAGGCGTTCGACTGCAAAATAATCTTTACAGTTTTACTACGAACAAATGTGCCGAGAGCAATGCTGACTCCTTGCGTGGCTCGAGTTGAATGTCTGTGGCTTTTTTAGATGCCCTTCCTTATTCACTCCCATGAACTACATCTTTTTCTCACAATCATGTCACATAATTTCAACTACAGAATGTGACGCATACTCTGTTTATACCATAAATATACATACTCCATTAGAGTGTCAGGTGCCTAAACGCGTCCCACCTTCAAAACGTTAGCATTTCTCTCCCCACTAATCGACGTGATTTACAAACCTGAATTTCACAAACAAGCTGGGTGAGACACTCTTTGGCATCTACCTGTTGGGAAAATGCACTTGACGAATACACACGTCGAAAGCCACTTAGTGGTTGGATTCCAGCCGCCAGATATAAACGTCCCCTGCAGGGAATCGGTTAACGAACTGTCATGCTCAAATTGCACTATGTAGCACAATGGACGAATGATTAGCGTATTTGCTTCAGAGTCGCGAGGTTCTGGGTTCAAAATCTTGGCTCAGTCCCTTATTGTGTGGAGATTACGTCCTCCCAAATTCCAGGAACACGCATGTTCGGTTCAGTGAAGATTCCCAATGCTTTGATTGTCTATATGTGCCCTATGAAGCGCTATAAATGGATACAAAGGATATCAAAGTTGGTATGCCCCTGTTCAAATGCCAGGTTTTCATCATTTTCAACACAGAGATAGCCATTTAACAACAAAAAAATTCAGTTCATACAATAATAATTGAATAAACATGAATAATTATGGACTAAACTGTGTCTGAAGTCAGAGCAGTCTTCTGGAGTAGGTTAAGAGTCACCTCTTTAAAAAAAACAAAAACAAAACAAAAAAACAGCCTGAAGCATAACGGACTCTTTTTGATCCTTCACAGCAATAACATCCCACAAATCTCTCCCCGTTTGACAGTTGAATCAATCCAATCTCGCCGTACTGCGCAATGTATGCTGTTTGGCGACCACTCCATCGCCACGGCCCTAATCAAGAGTGTAACTGTCCGCCCTCCCCCATATTGCTACCTTGCTTCACTCTTGCAACAGCGTGCTCTCTGCCGGGACATCAGCCAGGGTGTTCACTGGGGACAAAGCTAGGGTAATAAACCCTAATAGAGTTCACGAGAGTCGAAATAAGAGGGCCTTTGTCTGTCTTAGTGTGTATGCATGTGTGTGTGTGCACGAGAGAGACCCAATATGTTCACCGTGCACATAGGGAGGCCATTTTGCCAAAAAGGGAAAGAAGGTAACATACCTGAGCAACATTCACTTTTTTTTTTCTTTTCATCATTCATTGGAATACCGTTATGCAATATACAGACAAGTCCCGTCCATATTTCGGACATTGAAACAATTTTCAGCATTCCAGCTCTGTACACCACCACAATTGATTTGAAAGGAAACAATCACGATGTGCTTTAATGTGCAGATGCTGAGCTTTGATTTGAGGGTGAACGGTCTTGGAAGAGTACAACACATTTTATCAGCCCCCCCCAACTTTTTACCAGGAATTTTCAGAATATTGTCAGAATTTTATTTCTTTCTCTCTTTCTCTCTAAAATTGTACAGGATTTGCAAAGTTAAAAATTTGACTTTTTTTTGGGTGAATCTACGCCTGAATGTTCTGAACTGCTATTTAAATGCCGGAGTATTATGCAGGAAATTAGGCATATGACTTTATTTCAACTGCTTGTACAGTGGACATAAGGAGATGGCGATGCACCACTGTTCAAAAATTTTTGTGATGATAGAAACAGTCCAAGATAAATAATTTATGTGACCTATAACCTTTTACAAGCAAATGTTTTTTTTGCTGAGAATCTGTTTGAAAGGAAATGTTAATAAAAAAAAAAAAAAAAAAACAGACCGGCCAGTATTTAAAGTGCTTCTGATTAAACCCAAATAAATTTCAGATGCTCAAATAGTCATTTCTTGACATTTTGCTTTGAGAGGAGGCTTAAAGGTTTTTGTGCTAATGTAACAGATGCCAGTTTGCGATAAGGACCAGGGTGGCCCACAGATATAAAAATAAAAATCTGTGCATAATTAGTACCCATTGAAATACACATGGCGGCCCGGTAGTCCAGTGGTTAGCACGTCGACTTCACAGTGCAGAGGTGCCGGGTTCGAATCCAGCTCCGGCCTCCCTGTGTGGAGTTTGCATGTTCTCCCCGGGCCTGCGTGGGTTTTCTCCGGGTACTCCGGTTTCCTCCCACATTCCAAAAACATGCATGGTAGGCTGATTGAACACTCTAAATTGTCCGTAGGTGTGAGTGTGAGCATGGATGGTTCTTCGTCTCTGTGTGCCCTGCGATTGGCTGGCAACCAATTCAGGGTGTCCCCCGCCTACTGCCCGGAGACGGCTGGGATAGGCTCCAGCTCCCCCCGCGACCCTAGTGAGGATCAAGCGGTTCGGAAAATGAATGAATGAATGAAATACACATGGGGAAAAACAAATTAACCTGCCCCCAAATTCTTAAAAAAAAAACACGCATACATTGTGTAAACAGAGCTAGCAACGCGGTGGTAAAATCCATGGCATGGTTCTCTTTCCGTATGCTCACCACAATCCGGTGCGGATAATCAATATTGATCATTTTAAGACTGATCCCAGATATCCTCATCCCATAAACCCCCAACAGCTCCTGACCTCACGTTTGCGCATGCACGCACAGAGGAAGAGGGAGGTGGGGAGGAGTGTTATCAGTAGGAGGATGGGCGCTGGAGCCAGAGCGGATAGACTTAAAAAAGAAAAAAAGAAACATTAATAACTAAAACACGGCCACAGAGGCAGAGAGGACACAAGCAGCTCATTTACCCAAAAAGTAACAAGAACGTGATTCATTTTAGAACCTGCAAGGTTATTTTTTATTAAACGGAACGACGGAAACCAGTTCCACGTGTTATCTTTTAAATCTGTTTATGGCCACAGTTCTGTGTACCCCCATCCAACCTCCATCTCTCTCTTTCTCTCTCTGGGTGGCCTGAATCTAAGATACATTCAGGGAGATGAGGCTAAAAAGCTTTCTACACTGTAACACAAAGCACACACATTACCGACATAAATCACAGTCGCATTTGAGACCATTTGCTGCATTTGGTTTCTGCGTGTCAGATAGACAAAAGTTGCTTAAGCCACTTCCACGAGACGCATAACTGTTGGCTTTTATAGCAACCCAAAGTGTGCTTGGTGAGCAAATGTGGTTGCGCGCCGGTGGTCCGAGTGAGCGTGAAAGGCTGCCAGTTCAAAAGGAGATCAAGCAGGGGAAGTATGATTTCTTTAAGATGCTAAATCACGCTTCGCACTCACGAGGAACCTGTGTGTGTGTGTGTGTGTGTGTGTGTGTGTGTGTGTGTGTGTGTGTGTGTGTGTCGGTGTGTGCGTGTGTGTGATTAATCAGTCGATCATTACTGCAAATTAACTGATAGCACAGCTAACATTAGAGCCACAAGAAATTATCCCCGAAGGTCTGTGTCATTTCCTGAGAAATTAAGAACCAGAATTCTTCAATGTTCAAAGCCGCAAATAATTCCCCAAATGCAACTGCTTCCTCCTCGGTCTTAACTTCACACACATTCGGTTGAGTTTCATGAAAATTGAAACTCTGGTTCTTGTGTAATCCAGACAGACGGAGAAAGCGATGATGACAAAATGACCCCCTTTCGCGGGGGTAAAAATAAAAAAGCATGCTGTCTTCCTGCTGCGCCTGTAAAAAAGGCACCGCAAACGATTCACAATGTCCCAAAAAGACAAGGGTCCAAGCGCCAAACATTTAACACAAACAATAGTTGCCGTACAAGTCTAACTAATATGTTGCAGAAAAAAACAACAAAAAACTTTTCAACCACAATTTAGATGGGAGCTAACCATTTCATGGCGAGGGAGCAAGTGGTCCACATCTTCACCCTTTCTTGTCTAACAACGCAGGGACTCAAATTAGTACACAACATAGACATGAAGACGCTGGCTGAGTCTTACCGATTCTAAAGCAATGGGAACAAAAAAGAGTGGGGTTTTTTTCCATCTAAATACGTGGACCGTATTTTCCGCACTAAAAGGCGCACCTAAAAGCCTTCCAATTTTCTTAAAAACTCCCAGCGCGCCTTAAAATCCGATGTGCCTTGTGTATGGTTATTACGGTAATATGTCGACCCCCAAAATGGCTCCTTGCTCACGACATGCTTACAACGCAGAGTTCAAACTTAAGGCGATCGGGTGACGCAGTTGAACACGGAAATCGAGCAGCGGCAAGAGAGTTCAATGTTAACGAGTCAATGTTATAACTTGCTTTTGGTTAAGTGAACTGTGTCGCTGCTTTATTAAATAAGTTTGACTGACATCTGATCGTTCTGTTGGTGTTTCCTTGAGCGTAGCTCCATCTAGTGGATGCATTGTAGATTGCGTCTTATAATGCGGTGCGTCCAATATCTGAAAAAATTTACAAAATAGGCCATTCATTGAAGGTGTGCCTCATAATCCAGTGCGCCTTTTAGTGTGGAAAATACGGTAATTAATAAAGTGTACACGTGACTTCACAACAGCTTTACACGACAGCTGGCTCAGCGGCTTCTGTCACTTCCTTGCATCTTTCTTCACCGACAAAAACTATTTACTGCTCAACAAACCGGCCGTTCGTCTTCGAATCTGCGTGTCCGTCAGCATCGGCGGTAATCAGGTTAGAATTTATCAGGGACCCAGCTGTTTTCCTGCGCGGCAGCACGAGGGCCGTTAGCTGGTTATGATGGGCCCCGCACCCGCTGGATTCATTAGCTGCTTGTGATGAAATATTCATAAAAGGAACGAGTGACTTCCCAGGAAAACAGTGGGCTCTGTCGTGCAAAAAAAACAGTCTTCATTATTGACACAAAAGGCATGTATCTATTTGCCTCGGAGCCAACACTGCACGCATGAGCTATTAAGCAGAACATCCATCAGGCCATAGAGCAGGTGTGATCAAAAACTCATCCGTTCGCGGTTTAATAGTTACAAAATGAAAGTGGCCACAGATGAGCGTATCACACGGTGTACAATGAATAATTGATCACGGCCATCTCTTAAAACCGCTACAACTTATCCCCATTAGATTGTCATCAATTAGACCAAGTGGCTCTTATACCAGGGTGATGAATACCACGACGCTCGCAAACACACGGGGAAGGAGCGAGCTATTGCCGTGAGTCGGACCATTACGAGGGCTCATAATTCACCTCTGCTGGTAAATAAAACTATGGGGCAGGTGAACCGAGAGGGCTGTGGAGCCCCGGGTCAATAGAGAGACCGAGGGTGAAGGAGATAAGCAAATAAATGGTTTGCAGTCGATCAATGGTGTGTTCTTTACTTGTACAACAACTCTCCTTGCCCCCCCGCACAACATATAGATGAAAGACTTGCTGGATCAAAAGGGAGAGGCATCAAATTAGCGGCCACTTTGCTCCATTTTTGTTCCGCCCAGAAGGTAAACACAGGCCAGCCTCACTATGTTGAGCATTCTGCTTATGAGTTTACCAACAACATGAGAGTTTGCTTTATGGACAATACAAATGGACCCTTTCTCAATGCAGGGAAAGGAGAAATTTAGATGCACTTCCTGTAATTCTCTGGGGATGACTTTGGGGGGGGGGGGGCACTGATCGATTGGCCGGGATCTGCGCCGATATCCTTAATTTTGGGGGAGTCGGTGCAATTTCAATTCTCTCCGCCAATGTCCTCTTCTGCTGTGAGATGATGAATAGGCTTTTATTTTCAGTTGAGAGAACTTAAAACAACCCGTTTTGCATTGTTTTGCAACTACGGCTCAGTTTTTCACAATAAAACAAGATTGGAACATCGGCGGTATATGTTGCTGGTTATCAAGCAAAATCGGGATTGGCAACAACAGGTCAGGCTTATTAAAGATTGGGAATCGGTGATCAGCCAGAAAACTGCGAACGGCGCAACCCTTGTTGAATTCCAATTCCCAAGGAACCTCTGAAATTAAAGTTGTGTAATTCGGAACTCGATCAAAATCGATGGACTAAATAATAAGAATAATATTAATAATAATAAATTGCACAGGAATTCAGAGGTTTAACCATCCTCATGGTAGACATCAGCAAATATTGCAAAAAAGTCATTCCAATTGAATACAAAAATTGACAACAGCAAATTTTTGCTAAATCCATCCGATTTCCACAAAATGTGATTATTACACAACAAAATAATGAATGTTAATTGTAGGTATTCGTGTATGTGACTTTGAATATGTATGGCCTCACCTGGTGAGTGATGTGGGTGTCAAGAGTCATCCATCCATTTACTACCTCTTTGAAATGGAACCAATGCTGCTTGCATCACATTTTTGTAAGTTGTAACTAACATCTTGTGAAGGTTCCGTCTAACAGTGGCAAAATCTCAAGTTTTTACTTCCTGTTAGGCTGGTACGGCAACACATCGAAATATGGGCACGGTGGCAACCGGGACACTGCCGTTATTGACGTGTTGCCGCGTGACTCTTTCACAATGAGTGTGAAAGGGGCTTTAATCAGGCAAACAAAATCAATTCAGCTGCAAATGCTGTTGTCGCTAGCCACAATTTAGTGAAATTGACTGAAAACACTTGCATTGCCGGTCTAAACTTTAACTTGACATTTTCACTATTTAAGCCGCATAACTTACACTGAGGGTTAATGTTATGTCGAAAACAAAACATACTACGCCAAGTCAGCCGCGTTTTCTTATGCGGTTAGCCTCCGAGGCCAGGAACGGAATCACCCTCTGTATATTTAATACTTTAAAACATACTTAATATATTGCCCATAAAGTTAATAGAAGGCGCTACAGCCGTAGATTCTGTCTAATGTGATTACTGGCTAAGGGAAATCGGATGCTCTGGAATGGATTGTGTCCCACCTCAGAGGAGTCAATGTGCTGCAAAATGCACACGCATGAATCCAGTTATCTTTGTTGGGGTGTAATGTCAATAGCGTTAAAATGTCGGCAAAATGCATTTTTTTCCACTTGAGCGAATGACACTACAGTCAATACAGTCATATTGAGATGACTACAAGATGCATTTGAAATGCAAATTATGGAAATGTGGCTGGCCTGAAACACGTGTAATTATAAACGCGGGACTCTTCCATTACCATCAGAAGAAGGACTGGAATTTCATGATTCTGTTTTACATGTTTTTTGGAATACAAATGATTGTGTGATCATAAGTTTCCACTGGCGATATTGTGAAATTGTAAAACCACTTAAGATGCATGTCTCATCAGACATTTCATTTCATTTTTCATTTCACATCTCTACCCCGCTGCTACCCCACAATTTCCATCCTCTGCCATTCATCTCTGTGGAGCCTGCTGAGCTATTACGAGCCTATTTTTATCCCGTCCCTTCCCTCTTGTTGTTCCAGGCGTGTCGTGCTGGTTGTTGCCTCTCATCCCAGGTGACGATGACACCTTCACAGGGTTTGCCGTTTGCTCCCCATACCATCTTTTCACGCCTCTCATCTGTGAGTGTGTTTTTTTTTCCAGGGCCTCCTTCTCAACACTACTAGCATAGCAACAGAGTTAATTCCCCTGCTGTGGAATTCATGACTAGGTCAGTAGTTCTCAAACTGTTTACACCTAGAATTGCCTCAAAAAAATATTGATCTCTCCAAGTACCACCATAATGACCCAAATTATAATACAGTAGTGGTTTGTTTTTCAAAAACGAAACAGTGGTTTTATGAGTAAAATGTAAACTTAATATTATTGTCAGCATACTCTTACACCAGGCACAGTTTGACCATTAAGTCTACGCTTCAATATTAGTAAAATTTAAAAATATATATATATATTTAAATATCGATTCAATGAAAAGTTATTGCTCATGAAAGTTCAATACAAATTGTAACAAAGCACAAATGTTTGGTTACTGTACTTCATACAACTGAATTGTACTTAAAAAAAAAAAAAAGATCATTAGCCTAACAACATAACTGACCAATTTATTATCTTAGTGTCAGAACTTAAGTGTCAAAATGTCAACCAAAAAATACCAATGTATGGTAATTGTTCATATTTCCAGGTTGCCCCTGAACAGTATATATAGAGTGTATCTCTATATATAGGTTATTCTTGAATATTTTGTCACTGACAACACTTCAGAACATTTTAACAGTAATAGAATGAAAACGAATGTCAACGTCAATAGTTCATTTGCAAGTCGATTTACATTGTAGGCCCATAAATGTTCTACTTGTGGCCTGAAAATTTCAAGTTAGGGGCCACTCTGCTGTGAGTCCAAAATGTTTAAAAATTGTGGTTCAGGTCATGGCAATCGACAACGATCGACTCAAGGCAACAGGACAATTTCTGTTTGTTGAATTTGTTGGGTTTTTTTTTTTTTCCATAGAAGTGTACCACATATGGAAAAGGGGAAAGATGTGATGATATGAATAGAACAAATTTCTGAACTAAATAGAATGAAATTGACATGCTTTCTTTCTTTGTTTTTTGTTTTACATGCAAAACAACTAGCTACGTAAAAGTCATATTTTCTGGGTCTTAAAAACACAGACAGAATTAAGATGATAAGTAGGAAATAGCTACTGAAATTCATCACGTTACATCATGAGCCGGTACTGTTTCTGAGAGGGTCACGTGTCAGCACTCACCGCAACTTGCCTCATTGTCCCCCATTCAAAAAGGCCTCATGTCAAACCCTGTAACTGCGACAAAAGAATCAATCTGCACTGTAGAATATGAGCAGTCAAATAATTGTTTAAAATGACCACTAGATTCTCCAAATGTAGTGTTCCAACATGGGTGGGAGGTGCTCAAATTTGGAATCATACCGAGATCAGCTGAGTAGACAGCGGCCATGTCACCGCTGCTTCTTTGGTCGTCTCCTTGCTGCACTAATTTATTGACGAAAGCAAACAAATGTCGACATGGGATGTCAATGTGTGCTGAATCGCATCCTGTCATCTAAATTTGACACAATCCAAACACAGACGGACTAATAATCTAGGAATGATCTCATTATTCTGTTTTGTATTGTGAGAATAACACACAGCAGGAGTGGGGGTTGGGGGTGGGTGAAAATTCTCCAGGGTAAGACATCATCATAAATGGGCTTGACAGATGTCTGTCTGTGCTACTTAGGCAGGCTAAATTCTCATCATTCCCAACAACGCACAGATGCGCCCTCAGGTAGATGCGGAATGAGCGTGAACCTAAGAATTGTCAAAACAAACAAACCAAAAAAAATTTACTCTCAAAATTGATCAACATGAGTGTCTTGACCACTTCCCACTATGACAAAAAAAAAAAAAAAAAAAAAAAAAAAAAAACTTTTGACTTGAATTACATCTCAATGAAGGTGTGCAAGTGTATGGAGGCATCTCATTTCCAAGATAGTCCAATGGCCCATCAGCGGAACAATTTGGGATTCAACCAAGAATGTTCTGAGAAAAAAAAAAGTGCCTCAAACATCAACAGCACAAACAAATATTGAAGCAAAACTCGTGAGATCATTTAAAGCAAGGGTGGGCAAGTTTTTGTGCTCGGGTCAAATGGATATTTCCGGTTTTAGGGGTATACGGTTACTGCGTTGCTGTTCACTGTACTATTATTTTCAATGTAGACACGTATTAATTTACGTGCTAATGTGCTGTTCGTAGCAGGTTCCTCTCCGCTTTAATGTGGTCAATGTTAAATGAGCTGTCACTTGCATCGCGCTTTTCTACCTCGGTTACTTAAAACACTTCACATGGTTCCCTAGTTCACCTACTGATTGATGATGGAGAAACTGGGGGTTTAGTGCCTTGCTCAAGGACGCTTCGACATGGTCGCAATGGCCTCCCCACCCAGGTTCCAGCCAGAACCCTGTGAAAACTGGACGATACGCCAAAACACTTTTTTAGGTGTTTGGCGATGCAAAATTAGCTTAGCAAATAGCATTCTCTCTCTCACTCTCTCTTTCTCCCTCCCCTTTAATGATATTGGTGCTTCATTATTAGAAGTGTATCTACTACATTGTTCAGCCCGAGGATGCAGTCTGCAACATACACACCAAACATGGCAAACAACAGTGCTATTTTATGGCTCAACTTCTAAAGAGGACTGCAAATAAATCTGTCGTTTCCCTTCCTCTTGAATACACGAGGGGGTGATAACCGAGGCATAGGAACACACTGTTCACTTATCCACCCAAATAGATGCAATATTAATCAAGAATTTCCTTTGTGGATGACTCATTGCTGTTTCTTCACAGAAGGATCTTGACACTTTTGTTCCCAGGAATGCTTGAATGATACACGGTGAGCGGCAGCAGAGAGTCGGGACATTCTAAAATGCCATTGTAAAGACCACTTTGTTTCCCCCAAAACATTGGGACTTCATTTTCCAACAACAACCACCGGTTCTTTCACACTTTTGAACCCCACCCCCCCCCAAAAAAATTCCGGATCTGCTTGATTACATATGAGTTTCCATGAAAGCGGGGATGCATTTCCAACCGCCTTTTTACACTGATCCACATTTGTTTCACCCTCCCTCTAATCAACCCACAGGCCATTCATGAGATTTATCTCTCCTAACAACTGGCTGACGTGGGGAGGAGAGTGAAGCCTGAATCACAGAAGGAGAAAGGGGGGCATGGCCAAACCTGACCTCTGGATCTTTGCTCTTGGACATAATCCCACAACGGATTGTTTTGCATAAAAGTGAGATCCAAAACAAACAGACGTGTTTCCTGTGGATTCTCTTTGCGCAATGAACATCATTTGAAGATAAAATTTGGCTTCACACAATCAGGGTTTTCAACAGCTTTAAACAAGTCCATACACTTACCAGCCACGCCAAATTGGAACCTGGCTGTTTTGTACAAGTTCCGGTGCCCACAGACCGCAGTGATTATTTTGTCCTTCACTGTTTGCATGTTTTACCTGCCGTGTATGTGCCGTGCTAAGTACATTGTCACGTTCGGTATGACGACCCTATATCTCATATCATTGTTTTGGAAAAGTTTAGCAGATACTAACATTTCATCTTGTCTTCCTCGGAGTTGAAATCGATTTAATGTTTATTTTTTTCAGACAGTGGTCTTTTTCTTTTTTTCGAGTGAAGAGAAAAGCTTTTACCCCGTAGCTCCAACGAAGGCTGAAGTGACAGTCGAAACTGTCACCTAGGTAAGAGTTTTTCTCTTCACACACAAAAAGAAAAAGACCACTGTCAGAAAAAAACAAACATTAAAGCTATTACAACTCCGAGGAAGACAAGATGAACATCATCGCGCTTATACATGCCGGCATCCTTGCACTCCCAATGCATTTTTTCTACGTCAAATATCCATTTGTTTTTAATGGTAAAGTAAGATGAGTTGGAAATTACCTTCTTTTGAGATCATAGTTAGAGGTGTACTCAGGTTTTAAACTATTAATACGATTAAAATACGGGACGACTAAAATACTCACTAAATTTCGCTATTCGCGTCCGGACTTGGTTACTGACCCCAGTGAAAAGCGAGGGGGTTCACTGCACTGCACAGCCATTTAAAGTAACTTCATAACATCAACAATAATTGAGAACAACTGGAAATGCACCCAATTTCGTACACCGATGGAAAATGTTAAATGTACTCCAAAGTAGGTTTCACTCTACCGTTGTCGCCGTGAACCGAAAGTGAAGACATCTGTGAGAAGTGAGCCACATCTGTTTCGACACAGCACAAAGGAAGGCAGCTCGAGCTACACATTACAGTGTCACTCTATTACCCCTGCTAGCTTCTCGTACGACAAAACCAGCCACTTAAATATACTTTCATTCTTATGACTACACGCCACGTCGAGTATTTTTGTTTAAGAGTTTTCCACTACGTGCGGCAAAATGTCGAATAGAGTCCTCTGAATGTGAATACAAGCCGTGCCAGTGATAATTACTAGCTTGTGTTAGCATAGCTTGGAGCCGAATTGGGGACATTAAGTTTTGTGTACTGCGGTAATGTTCTTAACAATGTAATAAATTTGAATTATTCTGTATTTATTTTATCCCCCTGTCATGTTGGAATTGGTTTATTCAGAGATGTTTATCTAAAAATAGCATTTTTTTTTCGCTAATCGGCGTTATGTGCGGATGTTACGACGTAGTAAGCGGAGCTAGCCTATTACACAGCGATCGCTCGATGTCAGCTCCCGAGTATCGCTGTGTGAAGACAACACCGATAAGACTATGTATCTTTATAAACACGAAACATCCGCGCCCTCGAAAAAAAATGTATTGCCTAAAAGCAGGCCGACCACAAACAAGCCGGCGTAACTCGATGTAAATAACATGCGCACCTAGGAGAGGCTGCCTAGGACGCATCTTGAGACCAGGCAGCTGCCGATGTGTCGCCTGCGCTTTCAGGCACATTCTCGCATTCGACTCACCCTTTCGTCGCCTTTGCTTCGTCCCAGTCCGAACTCCCAACAAGCGGGCAGATGTCGAGCCGCGACCGACGTCAAATCGACGAAAATGGGTGATTCTATCCAACTTAGTCGCCGCTACTTGTGTTCTCTACTTCCTGATTGAGAGGGGCCATTTTGAATAGCGAAAAAATATTTCCGTCTGTGACGTCACGATCTATCTACAACAGCCCGGGGAAAAGTCAAATAATGTACAAATAATTAAACAAAAAATTGTTGATATAGATAGTTACATAGAGATAGAGAGAGAGGCTTTTTTTAAATCACGCAATTTTAAACATGAACAAAAATAAAAAACAAGGGAGGAAAGTTTTAAACGAAACAATGAGAGCACCTTGGGGTTGGGCAATCGATTAAAACTAAAAGGAAAAAGGTGTGCTTTAAAAGGCAAGTAATTTTGGCTTTATTTCACCGTCATCAGACAAGTGGTTCGTTCCTTACACTTGCGTGACAGTGAATTACATTATCCACCCATTTTATTGACAGCTAGTCTGTCCCATTTGACGTCACCAGTTGCAGGGCATATCAACAGATAAACTAGACAAACAATCGTTCAGTCACATTTATGGTCAATTTTGTTCATGTTGGAATGTGGGAGGAAAAGCAGAGGGAGAACCTGCAAACTTCACAAGAGAAGGCCAGAGAAGATATTCAAACTGTGAGGCAGATGCACGAAACATTAACCACAACCACACCATGCTGCCTTAATATATTGTCTAATCAAATCAGAGTCTTCTGTACTAAATATTGCCAAACACATGGTGCCTATTTCTACAATGCAAAACAGTAATTTATCCTTATGTTGTAAATCTTTGACCCGAGGTAGGTGCTTCCAACCTGGAAATATTTTGTCAAGTGTGCCTTGCCTCACCTGTCCAACTCTACAAAAGAAAAGAATGGTAGAAAACTGAAGATTGTGATGCATTACTTGTTGACAACAGATATGGATCAGCCGATTGCCATGCAATATGATGACTCATTTCTGATTTCATTACAGAAACTCTAAAAATGTATCCATCATAAATATGGATACATTTTTCGACAAAAGGGATTTACTTTTTTTTTTAAAGGAAGCCCTTCTTTCCTTTTCACATGACCTGTAATGTGTTTGTTTGATTTCTATTATTTCTGTGGAAGTAAATTAAAATAACGCTGAGAAGAAAATGGCAAAATAAATAAATCATTTATCCATTTTCAACATTGCTTATCCAGAACAGGCTCGCGGGGAATTGCTGGAGCCTATCCCAGCTGACTATGGGCGGAAGGCAAACTACACCCTGAACTGATTGCCAGTCAGTCTCAGGGCACATTTAGAAACAAACAATCATTCACACCCACATGCACACCGTCACTGAGCAGGAACCGATCACACGCTGCTCTCACACAAGTCCGGCAAGTGTGCCAGCGTACCACTACACCATTAGTGATAAATAAAACGAATCCCAGAAAGGGGGAAAAAATGTTTTAATATAGTCATTGTCATTTACGTTTTAAGTGGAAAATGGAAAATCTGATTTATTTATTTTTTTGGGTGGAAAAAAATAGAGATGTTATTTTAAGGTCATATTGCCAAGCCTTAATTAATGTTTAGGGCAAATCACCCAAATCTGAAACAACACCCTATTCATAGTGACTGATTATATCAAATAAAGATGCACTTCAGCATGTCCCGATTTGGCATCCATCGGTCCATCCCACATTATTGAACAGTGCTGGAAGAGCTCCAGTTGTTTCCAGCAAACACACACGCACATGCACGCACGCACGCACACACGCACATACACACACACTATACTGGTTTCCTGGTAGCCCCCCCTTTTCTCAGAGAAAAGAGCCTGGTGGGAAGCACACCCACAAACAAATTATGAGTGTTTGTGCTTAAACAAAGGACTAATGTTCTTTGTCATTATTGTTGCTGTCGATTCAAAATGACATCATCATTCTGACTGTATGAGGGTGCTTAGCACAGGTAGTCAATTATTCCCTACTGAAAATATTGTTTCTTCTGCAAGGTTTCTATTATTTCTGATGGCTTAAGCATTTTTTAAAACTACATGCTATTTTAGCAAAACTCTTGACACAAAGAAGAAAACCTTTCGCCAAACTGGCAACAACATCGTAGTCCTCTTGCAAAAGCAAATAAGTCTTGCTTAACTTTTCAAACCCTCATAAAAAAATGTTACTTTTGTATCAAACAATGAACACGAGTATCATATTAGTAAGAGCACGATGCGCCAACTAGAAGCTGATGGGAAAAAAAAAAAAAAACATCTGGCTTTTGCTTTCTCTGTGCACAAGGTAGGCGATGTCAGTTTGAGCTCAGACTTTTGGTCTTGACCTGTAAACACACGGGGATCCAAATTTCAAGTATTTTTATTCACGGGGTTTACTGGAAAGTTTAAAACATCCAAAGAAACACAAAACTGTGTTTTTCCACGTCAAAACACACCCAACAAGAAAGTCACATCAATTTCACAGAGTCTTCGACCACAGCTTTCTCTTTCTCTTTCTGCTCCCTCCATTGTACTCCATACCGGCTTATTTCTAGTCCCAGCCAGATTGCAAAGTGAACTAATGATCTAAAATAGTTCGATCCCATGACAGCCTGGTCAGACAGTTGGTAGAATATTGTAAATAATAGCCATAAATCTGTATCAGCTTTGCCACAAGTGTTTGGATCATTTAGAAATTGGGTGTAAAGCAGTGAGTTGAATGTTCCAAATGACAAACTCAGGACAAAGCAGTGTTTGTGTTTTTAATTGTAAAAACCGTGAGTGGTTTTGTAAGAAGATAATAGTTCTGGAAATTGTGCACCGGGAAACTGACACGTTTTAATGATGGAATCACAAAAAAAAAAAAAAAAAAAAAAAAGACAATATCAAGTCTAGGGTCCACAAATTCACCGTTTTCTCATGACGTTTGCTACCATCTAGTGTTGCTTTTGAGTACTGACGCGCCCCATTCGCTTCCTTCTCCCCTTTAATCGAACTTAACTGAAAAAGGAGACTTCTCCTTGGCAAGGTCATTTACATGCTAGTCATTAGTTATAATGTGTTGCGAATGTTAGCATCTGCTCAATCCAATTCATTTCTGTAAGCAAATGATATGGGAGCACAGTGGCTGGTGGTTAGCATGTCTTGGAGAGCCACTAGACATTTATTATAAGTCATTTGATCTGGTTTATTCTATTTTTGATCATCATATTAATCCTTTCAGGGACAGCGGCCACTACAGTGGACGGCTTATCATTTTATCAGGTTATCATTGTTGGTGCATGAAAGGGTGAACCATTTTGCATGTGTCCCTGAAATTACTGAAAAGAAAAATAAAAAGCCCAAAAAAAAATGTGAGGACTTTGAGTGTGATTATAACTTTGGATGACGACAGTATATAGTCTGCCTTTTTGCTGAAACAACTTATGCAAATCTCTGACCTGATCAAAATTGCAAGTTTTGTTCCCCAAAGCCTCTTTGTGTGTGTGTTTTTTTTTTCTCTCCAGCAAAGGCCAAGCCAGCCTGAAGTTTCATTAATCCACACTGAGAGCAGCCACGCGGTAAGCGCCTACACGGCTTTAACTTATTTTAATACTTTGCGTTGTGTTTGTTCTATAAATACACACAGATGGATCGGCATTGTTGTCAAATTGGTCAACTTTGGTTGTTCCATCGACCTTGCACAGTTTATTTCCACACCTCTGGGAGTCAGGGCCGCGTGGCTTTTTGAACTCAAAGCGATGGAGACGTTTGTTTTGTTGTTTTCCTTTACCGCCCTGGGCATTCTGTACTGCATGAACACGATTCCTGCGCTCCAAGAGTAAGTCGTGACCTTCATTGATTTTCTGCCTGTGATTGGCACAAGGATTTTTTTCCCCCCCTCTCCATGGTTGAACAATCACTGGTTAAGGTTACTGTTTTGGAATGTTCTTGCCAATATTTACTGTTGGGATCTCTGTAGTCCAAAGCCACAAGAAGTGGTCCAATTTGGGTTTCAGGCTTCAAAAGTCTGTCAACATTTCAAACCTTCATCATGACTGCAACTAATATCCCCGTTGGTGTGGTGTGTTTTGGTGTGAAATTTATTGTGACATAAGAAAGCGTCTGGCTGCTCATTACAACTCCAACGATACTATAATTACTTTCACTAATACATTTTTTTACTGCTCGGATGGGAATTTTAGCTGGGTTCATTTTATAATGGACTGAAACTATCTAAACAAATGTTGCTTCCCTGAATAGATTAAGTTTATTGAACCCAAGTAAATGAAGTTGGACCTAACCCGAGTAATTGCGTTAATTAACCAGACTAAATTACATTGACCCAAACCAAGCACATTAAGAGACACCAATTGAATTGACTCACGCTTAAGGAAAATCAACGATGTGGAAATTCTTTCCATTATTTTTTTTAATTAATTGAAAGAGCAACATTTTCAGTGTAGCATCGAATCCCTAAGTATTCATCAAAAACGAGACAGTGGTCTTGTTCCGAAAAAGTATATTGACTAATATTATTGTAAGGCGCTGTAAAATTATGTGCTGTTTGAAGACGCTACATGAAGGAAAAATGTGGACCTAATTTTTTTTAAACCGCTCTGAAAGATTAAAACCAAATTTATCGTACGAAAAAGTTAAATACAGTGGCACCACACTTAAGCAGTGATTCTTGTGTGTACCATTTGAGCACAGATATATGAGTGCATAAAATTGTCTGTTTCCTGCCATATTTGTAATATTGTACCGGAAAGCCAGTTCAGGTAGCGATGTAGTTAGCCATTGCTCGCTCGGTTTCCTCTTCCAATCCCTCAGTTGATTAAGCCCTTTATAAATCCAAAGTCTGCTTTACCACGCAGCACACACAGTCAAACTGAACTGTAGCAGCGTGTAGAAGGCAGCCATCAAAGGATGGCGGCTGCAGAATTTAACGAGGTAGAGACGCTGTGGTGGATGAGAGTGCGCGAGAAGGGTCAACTCTATGAATCGGATGGTTGTATGATGATAGAGTGCTTATATAACGGTAAAACTTACTTTCTCCTTTAACACGTTCCCGTTCTCACTCAACATTCCAACGCTCATTATAAACCTCCGGTATTTCTTGCTTTCGTCAAATATTGTATTGAGCGGCCAGAATTGAGTCACATATTCTGCTTTCCTACATTGCAACTTAACTTGGAGTTAAATCTTTAGCTGTTGTGTAAGGCAGAGCGCAACTGCAGTGGACCCTGGTTGTTCACGTTACAACAAGCAAAAATCCATGTATAATTGTTGGCCATTATAAATGCACTGCAAAAATATACATTAAAAAAATATATTTATTGTTTTTAATGACCTGGTTTTTCATGGAGATTTTCCCCCCATTTTTTTTTTTTTTTTTTGGGTGTGGGGGTGTTAAAAAACTAAATTTAAAATAGGTGTCACTTGTACGCAGATTTTCACAGCACACGTGCCGGCCCGGTTCTTATCACGTGCAAATTGCGGGCCCCCCCTGTATGGAATTGTAATGCATAAATATTTGTGTTTCTACAGACCATATGTGATCCTGGTGATTGGCATTGCCGTACTGGTTCTGGTCTTCATTTTCTACCTCGTCATCACTCGCGGTAACCCGCCCAGAGACGCCCTCTTCTTTGGTAATCTTATTTCTTGTTTTACTTACAACTGTGTGTGACTGCAGAAGTTAATTCAATCCTCCGCAATGAGTTTGGGCCAAGCTCCGATGCCTGCAAAAAAAAAAAAAAAAAAAGCATTTCCAACGTTCATAACTTTGTGTGAAAACAACTAATTGCATTCTGTGTGATTTCACCTGATACGCTGAAAGCTGCTTACGCTGGGCTGGCTCTGGCAGCTTAGCGTGACCGTTCTGTGACACGGCTGACCCCAAACTCTTGGGGAATTCACAACCCATACACAACGATGACGATAATGACAGTCAATGGGAGGCTGCACATAGATCAACGTCCGGTCACACTCACAGTCGGACCTGAGGAAAAATAGGAGGGCCATGTTTGATTTTTAAAATGGACAGATGGACCAGCTCATAATTAGTTGTCAATATTTAGGTTTTTTAAAAATATAATCAATTAAGTGATTATCTAATCAAATCAATACAAACGCACAAAAAAGGTCAACATTTGAAAATATACCACCACCAATTGCACCGTCGGACTATTCATTCCAATGGTGTTTAATGAGCTTTAAATCAGGGTTAACAAACTATTGCACACCAAAATTATTTGAATTGTGCCTTTATTGACTATTGGAGAGACTTCTGAAACTATAGACAAGGGCCAAAAATGATGTCCGTGTTGTGTCGGACGGAGTTTTCCAATAATGGAGGCAAAGCCGAGACAGATTTTCGGTAGTGATAGGGATCCATAATCCCCATATCGGAACTCTCTGATTGCCAGAGATAAACTGGTTTGCCATAAGGATTACGGGGATGCTTGTACACCCCAACGATGATATGCGTGTTTTTGTCTTGCAAGCTTAACTTGTGTGTATCCCGAGGAGGATGTTTCCGTGTGTCAGATCTAAAAGCAGCAGGCCCACCGCATACTCCCTCGGACTGAGAAATCACTCATGGAGATGCTGTCACTGTTTTAAACATATACGGGAACCGTAGGCCTATTCGGTTTATAAATTATTTATAAATCCTTTCGAAAAGTTACTATCATCTGGAAAGTGATTAAGTGGTTCACTTTTTCCACATTCTTATGTTATAGACTTACAGTATTTCAACAGACTCAAAAGTTTTTTCCGCATCACTTCAGAAGGCCAATGTGATTTTTTTACCCCCTGATTAATTATTCAATGAATCATTTTTTGTTGTTTGATTGTCAATACGTTATAATTATTGTTAGAACATAATTATTGTTGTAATAATTTGTTCCCTGAGGAATAAGGCGGTAACTAGAGGTACAACAATTCATCTATTGACAACCAATGGATTATCAAATTAATCTACAACTATTTTGATAATCAATTAGAGATATTTTAATTGACACTTTTCCAAACTTTTCATAATTTTCAGGGTCTGAACAGTAAGATCTCTTTAGTGAGAGGACACGTTATGATGCTCAATGATTTGGCCAATGGGCATCATATAATTGTAAAATTAAATTGGGCCTAAAACTGAAACTTGCAGTACACCACAGGCAAGGGTCGAAGTGTTTGAGCAGTTGTTGCCTGTGGTGACTGCCGATGCAAAGAAGAGTAAAATCAACTTAGTGCAGTCTCTCTGATCCCCTGCAAGCGTTTAAGCCGATCAATTAAAATAGGGTGCCGAATACCGTACTTTCCGGATGCACTGCACATAATGTGTAGTACATGACCTGATGACTGATGACACGTCATTATCTAGCAAAAAACCTCGATTCAAACTTTTTGAGAACGGTGCTTATTAATATTTCATCAATTGCCAGTCGTTCCTGATTTGTTCCTCGCTCTTTCACGAGTAGCGGTGCACACTTTTTGTGGAACACGTAAAGTGGGGAAAGTGCAGCCCATTTGTCATGTTGTGGCGTGTTGGGAAATTGCTTTCACGTAGAAGGAGGCATTGCGCATATTCTAGGCCATCGGATGAAATTGACGGTTTGCTCTTATTCTGGGGAAGAAAAAAATAAAAATAAAAGAATCTGCTTATAAAAGATTATTTCTTGGCCTTTCTTTCAACTTACTCCATAAGAGACGAAAGAAGAACCCCGTGGCCTTTCAATTGAGGCAAGCTCTTTAGAATGTTTTGTTTATCGCGTTCAGGATGCAAACACGCCTCCAGCCCCTTCTGAGCTCTCAAGGCTAAATTTCTAATAAACAGTTTTGTATAAAGCAATCAGCCTCTCAAGGATGGTGACTAGCTGCAAGGATCGCACCTCTTACAAAACTCAAGTTCAATTTTGATTGTCCAAACACAAAATGAAATGCCTTTTACTCTTTCCGGGAGAGCGGTTACTACAGTGGACAGCTTATGTTATCAGGTTATCATCATTGGTGCAGTCAGGGGTTAAAAAAAGAGGTCAAGTCAAATATTTTCTGTACGACAACAACACATCGGACCGGTGGTTAGCACGTCTGCCTCACAGCTCTGGGTTCAAAATCAGCTCAGCCCTTTATCCCGTGTCGAGTTTTTGTTGGTCTCTCTGTTCTTGCGTGGGTTTTTCTGCTTGACCTCCGGCTACCTCCCAGATTAATGGTTTGTGAATTTGGAAGGAAGTCAGTCTGGTATGACAAAGTATGTGTGGGGAATGTTTTTACCTTTCTCATCTTTGTGTCCTTTTGCAGTTTTTGCAGAATTTTCCTTCACGTGCATTATTGACTTGACCAGTGCCTTGGAGTATGATGGCTTCATCTCCGGCTTTATGGAGTTCTATCGAAAGACAGTAGGTTTCACTGGTGCTTGAAATAAACAAAACAAAAACAATGAATACAGCCAATATTATGTGCATGTGTTCGTTTCAGGGTGAGCCTTACCTGGGCACGGCCTACGCCATTATGATGTGTTACTGGGACGGTATAGCTCATTTTATCATGTACCTCGTCATGATAGGCAAGATCATGAACAGGTAGGTGTCACGTAAGAGTGGAGATGGCAAAACTTTTCCAATTGTGTTCTGTTCTTTCAGATTCTAAAAATGTTTGAAACATTGAAGGCTCCATTCTGTGTGTCTACAACTGTTCTTGGTTCAAATAGTAATCTTGCATACTGAACCTCCCCCTGGCTAGCTGCACCTTCATTCAATTCACCGAAATCGTGTTACACCACCTGCGCCAAAACTTAGACCTGCTTGCAGGTGGTCTAACGTCTAGTCTATTTTCTGTCACCAAATAGTCAGTTGTGCCGGGCGTGGAGTAGGGGTGTGTGTGTGTGTTGGGGTTAAAAAAATGCCCTCAGTTCATCAGACCACCTACCAAATTCCCAAACACGGTAAATGATATCGGCACAAAAATGAAGATGTACCAGTTTTTATGCCAAAGCACGTGTGCCTCTGTAGGAAAATAGAGGCAAAGATTCTGCGGCATTTTTTTTTGGTAGTGTGCCCGGAGAAATTTAAAATTCGTGCCCTTGGCTCAACACAGGTTTGGAAACACTGCAATAAAATATTGCATGTGCAGTCATTTGAGGTTTCTCGACGGGGATCTCAGACTATGGAACTGATGAATTCACTTGACATCATTTCCAACTGATTTTAAACGCCACACAACAGATTGTGTTCAATTTGAGAGGTTCCCCTTTACAGTGTGTAGTTCATGCTTCGTTGTCATGGAATGTCCTGTGAGTGGCATCACATTTATATGTGGTCTCAGAAAAGGCTACCGCACACTGGGCCTGTTCTGGGCCGGCTCCCTGTGCGCCAACATGAGCGTGTTCATCACCGGCATCGTGACAGGTGAGCCTCAGCCTGCGCTCCCTTAATGACACATCTTTGGTCTGGCTCAACATCGCCGCCCGTCATGCACCATCAGCATCTTTGTTACCTTTCGGCAGGGAAATACGGCACCGAGATCCGTCCGGCCTTCTGGCTAAACTTCCTCTTCCTGGCGATGCCTGCGTGGGGAGCAGTCACGCTGTTCGCTCGGCCCAAGGACAGGCCACTGATTGGTGGATATAATGTGAGTGAGGGGTAGCGATGGCTGCTGAGAACCGTCATCCGTTGTGATGCTGCGCCGGTGTCCCTCAACCCGCAGGCTCAGCAGGCTCAGAGCATGAAGCTCATCTGGCGTCCGCTGGATCTGATGCTGGTGCTTCTCCTGCTCGCCGCCATGGTCTTCACGGTCCTGCGAGGCCTGGTGAGAGGGGGCAAAACTATACTTCCATTCGAAATACAGACACTTGACTTGTGGAAAGACTCTCGTAAATACAGTATTGATTCAACTCCAGTGCTGAAGTAAAAGTAAATACTCTGAAAGTGACTCAAGTACAGCAGTAAAAAAAATATGAATTAAGAAAACACCTTACATTTTTTATGAAATAAAATGGGATTAAAAAAAAAAAGTAATTTGCCAAAACTCATTCAATTCTGTTGTGTTATTGTCATAAATGTTCCCTGGTTCCATTTCAGTGTATTTAACTGGTAGCCCTTCACATTCATTAGTTGCCAAGAATTAGGTCTCACTTTCAAAAAGGCCAGCGATACCTACTCTGTTGTATTTAGTATTTATTGTTGTCCCCTTCCACTATAGGTGGCGCTGGACTCCCCACTGGGAGCATGTTCCTTCTATGTCAAATATTACGAGCCCTACTTGCGGGATCCGGTGGGCTACCCCAGAGTGATGGTGAGTTCTCATGGCTAAACTAGGCTGGGGAACTTTATTTGACATTCCTTGGTGGCTTAATTATTTGCCCATCGCAATTCCTGTGTGGATTTTTTTTTAATATTCTCCTCATGCTTGCGTGGGTGTTCTCCAGGTACATTTCAAAACATACATGTGAATTTCATCAGAGAGCAGTGGGAATGGTTGTCTATTTGTGCTTTGCAATTGACCGTCGACCAGGTGCACCTCTCGACCAGTCAGTTGCGATCTAGATCTGATGACGCGATTTAAGACAAGCGCTGTCTTCTTTCGAAAGCAACCTCATTAGAACTCTATTTTATCTCACCTGTTTCAAGACACCCTTGCTTTTCCCGGTTTAGACTCTGATGTCTGCTGCGAATAGTGAAAAAAGGTGGAAACAAAACCTGACGAGGAAGACAAAAAAGGCACACGAGGAAACAAAAGCAGAATCATGACAATGTTTCTCCTACTAAAAACAAGAGTTTTTTTTTCTTGAAGCTAGAACAGATTAATGTAATAATTTGTAATCATTTTCTCTTCTGTTTTTCCAGTGTCCACACCATAGAGTATAAAAGCGCACTTGTGTATTCTCCATAATGTACCTTTATCGGTTTTCTGCTCCACTGATTAAAGAGATTGTTTTTATCATTACGGATACAATGCATGCATCTGTGTATGCGCCGCGTCTTTGTTTTGTTTCACAAAGATAAGCCTTTATTTACGCAAACCCTCTCCCCTTTTGATTTCCTCCCAGTGACCCGTTGTGCTCGTGGATTGCGTGTGCGAATGTGTCAAAAGGTTATCCAAATAGGTTGTCCTCACACAATTGCGAGTCATTGATCAGACGCAGCATGCGCATGCGGAGAGCTTGATAAGCCAATCCTTCACACAAAGAACGCCCCCCCCCCTCCTCCCCACCCCCCCGTCCGAGGGGCAAGGTAAGAAGTGCGTGGGGCATAAGAACGCACACAAATGCTGCTCAAAAGGAGTCACACACAAGCCGTGACAAACCAAACATAAAAAATAATTATGTGCATATTTACCCAAAGCACATTCACTGTCTACAAAGACAGATGGATGAACAAAACTAGCATTGACATTGCGATAGCTGTAAACATTTAAACTATGAACACAAACAGTAACAACCTCTGTCGGCTGCATTTAAAAGGTCTCATTTGTTTCATCAAAATTGCAACTAGTATGGCTCTATGTATTATGCTGCCCCCTGGTGGCCCAGACGCACAGACCAGAAGGAGTAGCGCAAAAACAGCATGCGATCATGACAGATTGTTTAATTCTTTACATTCGATTTATTTACTCAGTTTTATACAGTGCAGAACTGTGTATTGATATTTTTGTGACTAAAAACATGCTACGAATATTTAAGTCTGTGTTTTAGAGCTGGAACAAATTAAAGGGATTTCCATTCATTTCATTTGGGCTGGTTGATTTGAGATACAAATGCTTTGAGTTAGGAGCTTCATACACCCTTGATTAACGGTACAGGTAACAGTTACATTCTTAACTGTCATGTAATTGTAAAGAGAAGTTAATTACGGTGCCATAAAACTACTCACCAAAATATTTATTATTTATATTATATTTATAATATATATAATATATTTATACTTATTTATATAATAAACCTCAAATAAGGTAAAAGTACTCACCCTTTGGAGGTGGCTGACAGATACATAATGGAGGGGTTTGCACAGCTGCTTTTTGAAATGTATTGTACAAACTCATATTTCTGAAAAGAAAGAATAGAAATTATAAGCATATCGCTGACAAATTGAAATGGTTGCTTTTTTTCCCCCTTTTTTTGGTGTATCCAAACGTTTTCATCATAGTGCCACACAGAAGAAAATAAGGTTGCTAGCGCCACTTACATTCTTCAACTTGAACTGAAACTCATGCTTTTCAGGCTATCCATTTTTTAATTTTTTAATTTTTTTTTTTATAGAAAGCATTGAGGTTTGTGTCAATTGTCATTTTTTTGTACATTTTGTGGCCTACTGAAAAATGGACAGTGGCCTGCAAATGGTGCCTGGGCCATAGTTTGGAAACACCTGGCTTAGGCAGTACCCGTTTGCTTTTAACAGATGCTGCACATGTTCTTCTATGGACTACCGCTGCTGGCAGCGTTTGTTTACGGTCTCTTTAAGCCAGGCTGCACGTGGATGCCTGACTGGAGTGTTTTCTTTTCGGGAGCAATGATCCAGGTACAGGTACCGCAAGCTCAATAAGGTCACACTGAAGAGGTGAACTCAACTCAACCGTCTGCTGTTTTTTTTTTTTTTTTCACAGTGTCAGTGGGCTCACATTGGGGGCTCCCTCCATCCTCACACAAAAACCCCATTTCGCATTCAGAGCGATGTATTCTGGCCTGTGCTGGCGGCCAATTTGCTCTATGCCGTCACTCCTCTTCTGGTAGTTTTGCGTGTGCGCAGTAACCCCTATTTTTTCCTGAAGGTCGCCCCCTTCCCTGGGCAAACCGGCCTGCCAAACAGCGAGGAGAAAGACACCAAGTACAAAAACAAATAGTTCAAATGTGGTATGATTTGACTTGAATGCCAAAATAAATGATTTACCGACATCCGGAATGTCTTGGTTTTAATGAATACTTCATTTTATATTCGTGTCAACAATCATACAATGTCTAGCATCTAGCGAGTTAGCTAGCTAGCTCCCAAACAACAAATTCACTACCTAGCTAGCTAAATAAATATAAATAGCTAGATAGATTGCTAATTAGATAGCTTGGTCGGTAAATGGGCTACTTTTGCATCTTTAAATACAGCGTTTGAAAGGCAGATACAATAGAAAACATAGCTTTTATGCGGTTAATGACTTACTCAAAACTATCAGCAAGAAATATGTTTATCTTCCACCACCACTTCCAATTCCATCACTTCAAACTTCATTTTCCGCTAGGGGGACGCTCCAAATATTCACAAAAATCCCAATTTTAATAGCCTAAATCACATGCAACACGCCGACAGATTGTGCATGTTATCTGTGAGTGTGAACACATATTTAGCACCCACTCTTTGGGATATTAGTAAATCAGGCACATACATTTCAGCTAAAGGATGGATCATAAAACTTGGACTTTAAACATCTCTTGTTGCCTGACAAATCCTTTTAGGCATACAGTAACAACTTTGCTAGATATATAGATAGAAGAAATCATTCTTATTTTGTAGCTTGCTAGCTAAGCGCAGACAGGCGGAGAGCTTGATAAGCCAATCCTTCACACAAAGAACGCCCCCCCCCCTCCTCCCCACCCCCCCGTCCGAGGGGCAAGGTAAGAAGTGCGTGGGGCATAAGAACGCACACAAATGCTGCTCAAAAGGAGTCACACACAAGCCGTGACAAACCAAACATAAAAAATAATTATGTGCATATTTACCCAAAGCACATTCACTGTCTACAAAGACAGATGGATGAACAAAACTAGCATTGACATTGCGATAGCTGTAAACATTTAAACTATGAACACAAACAGTAACAACCTCTGTCGGCTGCATTTAAAAGGTCTCATTTGTTTCATCAAAATTGCAACTAGTATGGCTCTATGTATTATGCTGCCCCCTGGTGGCCCAGACGCACAGACCAGAAGGAGTAGCGCAAAAACAGCATGCGATCATGACAGATTGTTTAATTCTTTACATTCGATTTATTTACTCAGTTTTATACAGTGCAGAACTGTGTATTGATATTTTTGTGACTAAAAACATGCTACGAATATTTAAGTCTGTGTTTTAGAGCTGGAACAAATTAAAGGGATTTCCATTCATTTCATTTGGGCTGGTTGATTTGAGATACAAATGCTTTGAGTTAGGAGCTTCATACACCCTTGATTAACGGTACAGGTAACAGTTACATTCTTAACTGTCATGTAATTGTAAAGAGAAGTTAATTACGGTGCCATAAAACTACTCACCAAAATATTTATTATTTATATTATATTTATAATATATATAATATATTTATACTTATTTATATAATAAACCTCAAATAAGGTAAAAGTACTCACCCTTTGGAGGTGGCTGACAGATACATAATGGAGGGGTTTGCACAGCTGCTTTTTGAAATGTATTGTACAAACTCATATTTCTGAAAAGAAAGAATAGAAATTATAAGCATATCGCTGACAAATTGAAATGGTTGCTTTTTTTCCCCCTTTTTTTGGTGTATCCAAACGTTTTCATCATAGTGCCACACAGAAGAAAATAAGGTTGCTAGCGCCACTTACATTCTTCAACTTGAACTGAAACTCATGCTTTTCAGGCTATCCATTTTTTAATTTTTTAATTTTTTTTTTTTATAGAAAGCATTGAGGTTTGTGTCAATTGTCATTTTTTTGTACATTTTGTGGCCTACTGAAAAATGGACAGTGGCCTGCAAATGGTGCCTGGGCCATAGTTTGGAAACACCTGGCTTAGGCAGTACCCGTTTGCTTTTAACAGATGCTGCACATGTTCTTCTATGGACTACCGCTGCTGGCAGCGTTTGTTTACGGTCTCTTTAAGCCAGGCTGCACGTGGATGCCTGACTGGAGTGTTTTCTTTTCGGGAGCAATGATCCAGGTACAGGTACCGCAAGCTCAATAAGGTCACACTGAAGAGGTGAACTCAACTCAACCGTCTGCTGTTTTTTTTTTTTTTTTCACAGTGTCAGTGGGCTCACATTGGGGGCTCCCTCCATCCTCACACAAAAACCCCATTTCGCATTCAGAGCGATGTATTCTGGCCTGTGCTGGCGGCCAATTTGCTCTATGCCGTCACTCCTCTTCTGGTAGTTTTGCGTGTGCGCAGTAACCCCTATTTTTTCCTGAAGGTCGCCCCCTTCCCTGGGCAAACCGGCCTGCCAAACAGCGAGGAGAAAGACACCAAGTACAAAAACAAATAGTTCAAATGTGGTATGATTTGACTTGAATGCCAAAATAAATGATTTACCGACATCCGGAATGTCTTGGTTTTAATGAATACTTCATTTTATATTCGTGTCAACAATCATACAATGTCTAGCATCTAGCGAGTTAGCTAGCTAGCTCCCAAACAACAAATTCACTACCTAGCTAGCTAAATAAATATAAATAGCTAGATAGATTGCTAATTAGATAGCTTGGTCGGTAAATGGGCTACTTTTGCATCTTTAAATACAGCGTTTGAAAGGCAGATACAATAGAAAACATAGCTTTTATGCGGTTAATGACTTACTCAAAACTATCAGCAAGAAATATGTTTATCTTCCACCACCACTTCCAATTCCATCACTTCAAACTTCATTTTCCGCTAGGGGGACGCTCCAAATATTCACAAAAATCCCAATTTTAATAGCCTAAATCACATGCAACACGCCGACAGATTGTGCATGTTATCTGTGAGTGTGAACACATATTTAGCACCCACTCTTTGGGATATTAGTAAATCAGGCACATACATTTCAGCTAAAGGATGGATCATAAAACTTGGACTTTAAACATCTCTTGTTGCCTGACAAATCCTTTTAGGCATACAGTAACAACTTTGCTAGATATATAGATAGAAGAAATCATTCTTATTTTGTAGCTTGCTAGCTAAGCGCAGACAGTAATTCATAGAGGCTTTACATTTGCATCTATTTAGCTATCTAGTGTTGCGCGCTAATTCACTATCTGGCAAACCTGGTAGGCAGGTGAGTAAGTAGCAGCTTGGCGGCCACACAAATCTCTTTTTTCTCTGTCCCCCAAAAAACAAAATTGTCCATGTTTTATATTTAGATTTTTTTTAAGACAGGAAGTTCATTCAACTCCTCGCTATCTGGCTGGCTAAAACACCACTTCGAGCGTGCTAAACCAAGTACAGATAGATTTGTTGTTGTCCAATAAAAAAAAACATTTATCTCCAAACGCTTTCTTTAATCTTGATGCAAAACAATTTTTAAAATTAAATAAATACACTCATAAAATGTGGAGGGGTTTTTTTGTTGTTGTTGGACGGGGTTGACTTGCAAAAACCTCATCACATATTACAATACGAGCCAATGTCTGGGCACAAAACTGGCCACTTTCCCCCTACTGTGCTTTTTGTCTCATCCAGTGCATATTGCACATTTCATCCTCTGCTCTACATTTCCTCTTTTCTCCGCACTCCATGTGGGCGGCTTGCTTAATGATTTCATCATCGCCTTTTGAAAAATGCATCAAACGAGCGACAGTGGATCTCTGGATGCCTTTGTGTGTGCAAACAAACACGCTCAATTGACCAGCAAGCGGGGAGGAAAACGTTGCCTTTGTGCGTTTGAGTGTTTCACACTGTGAGCACGACTGATTGTTGTTATGAAAGGCTAAAGAAGAAGAAAAAAGATTATGACCATAACCTGAAAAGAGATTGACAAAGCTTTGCACAAGGATGATGCTGTGCCTCCAGTTCACACTTCTCAAGAGAGAGAAAAAAAAAAAAAAAAACTACGGTTGACTAAGCCCTTTTAAAAGACATCCATGCTAGAGTTTCACACAATATTACCACATGGAACAGGTGGCTGTGCATGATTGCTGGAAGGCAGCTCATTCGTTGGATGCAGACAGGGAACATGGCAAGGCTGGTGAGGAAGAAGGAAGGAAACCAAAATAAACAACTTACACAGTCTAAACTTGCTCCACTTGGTTTCTGATCAAGACATGGAGAAATAAAAACTTTTAAGCAGAACAGTGAATGTGATGCTAATTATTTCTCGTGACACCTAAAACTATAAAAAATCTTGAGAAAGGGCTTTACCTTAAGTCTACTCCAGTGCCCTAAATATCTTTTTCAGCCTATTTGCATCAATTTGACATCTTAAACATTCACACAAACATGAAAACTGGCCTTATATCAGGTAAAGTAGTTGCAGAACTCATCAGCTCAGGAGTTAAGTTGCACGCAGTTGTATCCTGCATTAGTAAGTGTGCTAAGTGGACATCTGCGCTACTCTGCTGCATGTGAACCACAGGAAAGACCAACGGATTGCCTTAATGATGCAGCACGCTTGTTTATTGACTGTGATGTGCGTGTCAAGTAGTAGTTGTTAGTTAACTCGGCTCCCCTTAAGGCCTGTCGTTAATATTCAGTTGCTAATGGGAACGTAAACATTGGAGCCTTCCAGCAGTGCAGCGCCACACTGGACGTTCCGTCAGCCCGCTTAGCCCCTTGAATGTTGTTATGATGATTCTGACCTGGAGTCAAGTGATACATCGATTTACATTGGAAGCTTATCTCCCCTGCCATCCATCATAAACACCGATGTGAAAACATGAACTCAACTCCAGGGAGCGTCTCGTATTGAGATGCATTTTTATTCACAATGGTACTAAATGTGCCATGTGTCTCAAGCAATTATCGTTTGGAGATTTTTTTATTCTAAATCTATTGGCGGAGAGAAAGTCAATCATTCTCATAAGATGCAAAATGAGGTAATCGTTTATGCATATGTCGAGTTGGATTCAGCATTAAAACGGAGTGATGGATCATTTGGCCAGTTGGAGCCAGCATTGTGTCAACCATGCGCAATTCGTTATACGCGGAATGTGATGTGACGAAACCGGGAAAATAGGCTAGTGGACTTTCTGTGTAAAGTGTTAATTAGCATAACTACGGGTTGATGATATGATGGTTAAAACGCAAAATTGCTGCAGTTCCTCGTTTGGGTGCTTCGGGAGCCGCTATATCTCTGAGCTGGTAACCTAAGTGCTTTGACCTGTTTTGCCAAATGTGGAAGTTGGTAGCGCATATCCCGTGTAAGACTACTAAATGTATGTTTTAGAACTTGTAAAAAGGTATTCTTTGTCAGATTTCCAGAACGTTCAGGACAGAATGGAATTGGACTCCAGAAACATGAACTCAGAAAGATTGAACAAAAATATGACAAAGTACAACAAAAAGTACAACAAAAGTTGCTGGTAAACACCAGGATAATGAGTGAACCAAAAACCAAGGAACAGAATATAAACTGAAAGAGCTTGTCAGAAAGTAGAAAATCCAAAACACGTACAATACAAAACCCGTGACTAACAATAACAACAAAAAACAACTTACAAAAGGTACGCGAAGACAACAAGGCGGAATCAGAAAATGGAGAACATGAAAGCTTGGGACGCCTAGAAGAAGAATTTGTGTCTTGGAAGCAGAACTCCTTAAGCTTGATTACATGAGCAACAGGTGTGCAACCCGAAGGAGAGGCCCTCCTCTGCCACCTGCTGGAGATACACAAGAACAGAACATGACGCTCTTCTTGTAATATCTTTTTTTTTTGGTTTGTAAATAATGTACTTTCAAATGTCATTATATGAAGCACATTGAGTTATCTTGTGTGCGAAATGCGCTATATACTACGTAAAACTGCCTTGCATAAATATGAACCTTGCACGGTCATCTATTGCTAGGCAGAATCAAATAAATTTCCATTCCAGAATCTTTCCTTGACTACTTCCTTCCCCGCTAGGGAACGAAAGGATGGAGAGGCGGCAAAAACACTAAATTATTTACTCCAAAAAATAATGAACACTTCATATATGCGAGTGAATCACAATACTGTTAATAAAAACTACAACAACAACATACACGGCCATCTGTTATCATAGATAATGACTGCAAGACGAAGATCAATATACCTGTATATCATGAGTGTTCTATTGTGGGAATGATGAGGGTCAGGTCTCTGTTCTGTGATCTCGCAGGCCTTGCGGGAACACGAGGCTTTAAATCAGGATTCGTTTATTCTGCCCTGAGTGGGCCGCAGTCCCATCTGTAAGCTTTTTTATCCTCAGGTTCTTTCATTTTCATTCCTACAGAGGGTTCGTTTGCACCGCCCGCCGCCCTCAGGATAGTTAGATCAAACAAATGTGAAACATGGGACGCAGGGACACTGATTTTTTTTTTTTTGCCACTGTAAAAGTTTTGAGCGGTTTCATCTACTAAAAAGTCTTTGTGTCTTTACACCAAGTTTTTACTAACGGAACCCTTTTATCTGGCAAGGAACCACATTTGGCTGAATAAGTGGGTGTTTCAAACTCTTCGTGGGGGTGTTAAAGTTAATACGTTGAGTGAAGGGTGTTCTATATTACAGGAAATGAAATCCTTTGGAACCATGCAGAAAATGGCCAGCGTTTTGAATTTGGTGTGGAGGATGCTGGGGGAGAGAAGGTGCGCCAACTCCGCTGCTGCAAACACACTATAAAGCCTGGTTGACAATAGAAAAAAAAAATCCTTCCAAATCATGCCAACATGAACATTGTCTTGACTTTGGCAAAGGGAAGATGGAGGGGGGTGGGGTGGGGGTCTATGAAAGAGGGGGTACGCCAACACTGTTGGTGTATTGAAAGGTGTGTGTGGCTTAAAATGAGTGGAAAAAGCTGGTCGATAATAAAAGGAATCCCTTCAAAGCCATGCAAAAATAAAGGGCATTGTTTGACTTTGGCATGGAGGATGCTGTGGAAAAGGGGGTGCGCCAACCCGGTTGGATGGTGCAGAAAGCAAGTTATTGCAACCCTGGACTACAGTAAAAAAACAACAATTTTTTTGCGGCATGAGGGGTGCGTCAATACTGCAGAATATCAATACGCAGCACAGAGCAGTGACCTAAAGCGTATTTGATTCAATCACTGTTTGTTTTTACTCTTGATGCCTCCTCTGTCCTCGCTGACCGCACGTGTCTTGTTCAGTGCACTCTGGTGGCGAGCTACACCCGCATTTTAGCATCGCTTTACAACAGAGAAAAAAAAAAAAAGTTTGCGAACGAGCTAAACCTTCAATCGATTGTCTGCGTTCATTAGTGCGTGATGGTGTGAGTTGGCCGGGAGGTTGGCTCGGCTGGAAGGTATTCACTGAATGTCCTCGGGGCCGAAGGTGAGGGAGGAAGCCAATACGAGACAATATTCTGCCTCCGTAATAGCCAGCAGTCCCTTAAAAAAAGCATCAAAATTAATACGCGTGCAGACGTGATGTTGTTACTCCTCATTAGGTTCGGTTCTTCTTCAGGAGACACTGCCTTGCGCTTCCCAACAAATTGCAAGTTTGAAAAAGCTTTATTGATGTACTGCATTTTGTGACATTTTCTTATCATTCAATGAAATTAAGTTTGAAACACTTTTGGGCATCACCATGAGAACGTCATCCTAACCGTTAAGTAACGTGGTGGCAGCATCATGCTTTGGGTTTGTTTTTCGGAAATCCGAACATTTAAAAGAATATTCCCTCCTGTGTTAACTTTAAAATGTGTTTCACCCACAAAGTAAGGAGGGCTATGATGTTTCAATTGACAGCGTTTTTTTTTTTTTTTTTGGTTGTTTGTTTTTGTTTTCACCCTGTGCAAATGGAAAAGTATATTTGTGGTTCCCTTTCGAGCGAGAATGGCACCACTAGGTGGGTACCGTTCATAACAGGGTGCACAGTGATCAGCTGTGCTGGCTACAGTCTATGTGGAGTTGAGTCCAAGATCCCTGACACGTTTTGCCAGCTCCTGGCTGTATCCGGATGACATGTTTGATTAGGATTCTGTGCAATATTTGAACATGACCCATTTTCAGGCATGGCGCTACACCGGCGCTAGGGCGGCTATAGCACGACAGACGATAGCCTCATTAGAATTTCCCTCACATTCTACAAAAACTGCATAGCTGATCCGATGATTGCACTACAAATGTCACATGCAGTGACATTTAACAGGGCGTGTGTTTGGAATAGCTCAAACAATTTCCTTGCCCAAACAAGCACACATTTGTCAACAAAGTGGATGTTGTGAGCTATTGGAGGAGGGGGAGAGGGGGCAATGGAAAAACAGGTCTGCAAATTGCTTCTCACTAATCCACACTAAGTACAAAAATCACAAAAGATATGGCTTGTTCCCCATTAGTATAAAAGTATAAAACAGGAAATAGTGAAAAAAAAAGTGTCTCATCAATTCACTACTACATAGTTCCCAGTCTGTGCCCATTTTCAGCAAATGTCTTGAAACGCGTGTAATGTATTTGTCAACAAATCTCTGAATTCACTTCCCATGGTCTGTAAAAGAAAAGGGTACATTATTAAAATCCTAAAAACCTAAGAAAGATACACACTGATGTTTGCTATGCTAGCCCACGGCAGGCTGAGTCACAGAAACCCCAAGATGACCTCGGTGATCAAAGTTGTCGGGTTTTAATGATTTGTCTTGACGAGGCAAACTTGGATTCACTGCCACTAAATTCGTCAGCAGAGTCCTTCTTGGTGCACTACGTCATGCATAATTTAAGGAAGCCGTCTGCATTTCGTTGCTCAAGTAATTTGGAGGTTTTTTTGTGACGTGGTGGAGCCTGAATGAAAGTCGCTGA